AGGTTCTTGCAGACGCTCCCCAGGCACAGCTGCAGTGAGCAGGAGCCAGCCCCCATCGCTGATTTCCTGCCCATTGTTTCTGCACCACTTGTCCAGGATCTTCATCCAAAGAAAAAAAAAACCTATGAAGGCTGCATGTGAGCGCCAGGGCCATCACGTGAGGGCAGGACAGTCCCAGGGCCGCCTGCGTGTCCCCAGCTGCTGGGAAGCCACTTGCTTCAGGGAAACAGGAAGCCCTGAAATAGCCAAAGCTGGAAATGTGTGGCTGGGGGGAGCAGAGCATCCAGCATCCCACCTCCTCCTCTGCAGTCCCTGGTCTGCCACTGGCATCGTTTTGAGATGAGCCCACTGCTCTTTTCCAGCTCCACACTATGACCAAGCAGGGATGGAGCTGCTGACCCCATGTGCTGACCCAGAGGGACCTCCCAGAGGGAGGAGAGGGACCCAGATCCTCATCCATGCTGATCATGCAGAGAGTCACCGGGAAGGACGGGATGCTCCAGACCACATTGGCTGCAGGGAGGATGCTGATGCTTCATCCACCTGATATTTGCACCCAGTGGCTACCAGCGGTATCTCCCCAGCATTGTCCTTCCGAGCACTGACAGCCAGCACACAGTGGGAGCCACACGTAGCAAGGAACACGCTCCATACGAACAAATATCCCAACAAAATGGGAAGAGAGTTCTTTAAGACCTAATCGTGACCGGCAGTGATAGGACAGGCAGGAGTCTGGGACTCATGGGACGCAGGGAGGAAGGGAGCAGGCAGCGGGTGTCACGCTGCCCAAAGCAGAAAGGTATTTCAGGTCCAGAGATTATTGCATGAATGCCCTGGTAGCTTCTAGGTGCCACAAATCGGGGCTGATTACATCGAGGAGGGTTATTTGCAGGCTTAGCCCCTGGCATTCCTGCAGAGGAATGGTGCCCCAGGCCTAGACCCTCCTCGTATTAGATGAATTAGTTACATATTGAGGTTAATGCCAGCTCAGGCAGCCGGGAGACCAGCCCTGCTCCTTTGTGCTCCTCGCTTCTCCCCCAAGCTCCCTCTGGCCTGGGCCATCAAAGGCTTTAGGCTGGGATGGAGATGGGGCTCCTGCTGCCCAGTCCAGTCCTGCCCAGTACCACCACTGGTGGAGGCTGTAGGAGGGCAGCTCCTGAAAAAAACAGAGGGCAAGATGGCAGGAGAAAGCCAGGAGAGCCAGGATCACCTTTCCCTGACAGCATCCCGTGCCCCAGCCATGCTCTGCTGCTGAGTGAAATACCACCAAACGGGAGGCGCATGTGACTTGAGTATTCCTGGTCCCAGGGGACAGCCAAGCAACAGGCTCCTGTCCTGGCTCCTGTCCCAGCTCCTGTCCCAGCTCCTGTCGAGCAGAACAGAGCAGAACAATCCCAGGAAGTGACTGGGGTGAGGGGACAGGATGCAGCACTGGCTGCCACCACCAGCATTGTCTTTTTGGATACCTGAGGAATGAAGTCAGAGCCCAGCTCACTGTGGAGGAGCCCAGAGCAGAGAGCAGCAGCCAGGGAAAGGAAACACAAGCCCCCTGATCACAGGCATCCAGCTCAGTCTCCACCTGAGTGGAGCCTCAGCAAGGGCCTGGAGGAGCTTTTCCCTCACAGGGAAGAGCTTCTGCCTAAGAGCTCATCTCAGTCTCCCCTCGGGCAGGTTAAAGCCATTCCCCTTGGCCTGTCCATACAGGCCCTTGTCCAAAGCCCCTCTGTAGGTTTCTTGTAGCCCCTTTAGGCACTGGGAGCTGCTTGTGGGAGGGCTTGCAAACACGGGGAGGCAGAGGCAACATCTGCCCAGAGGTGATCACTGTGGGGGGGCTATCAGAGAGGTTTCTGGCTGCACTCCATGCAGTAAGGGAGGGAGGTGCCTGGTTGCCACCCCTGTGTGGTTACAAGCCACCTCCATGCCCCAGCCTGGTCATTTGGGTCCCAGGACAGCAGAAGGTCTCCTCGGCACCCTGGCATTTCGGCTGGAGCTGAATGTCCCTAGCCTGGAGGAAGGGGCTCCCTGGAGACCCTGTGAGAAGGGTGATGGGAGCCGCTGCTGGAGCAGCTCCTACTCTGCAAAGCAAAGCACCAGCACGACCCCAGGCAGCTGGGTCTGCAGCTGGGCTAGGAGGGAAGGTGCAGGCAGGAGGCCCGAGAGGTTGCTGTGCTTTGGTTAAGCCACTTCCGTGCCCAGCGAGCACTGCTCTGCTGCTCGGGAGGAGAGGTCCTGGCAGGCTGCAGACCTCAGCTCGGTGAACGCATGGCTTGGGGTGGTGGCAGCTCTGCTGGTGGCCCTGTGCAGGCACTGTGTCCCTGCTCCAGCCCAGCAAGGGCTGGGTTCCTTCTCCACTGACCATGGTAATACTGGGGCTGAATCCCAGCCCGCTCCCCAGCCAGCCCGGCCCAGCCACTCGCACCTGATGCTCCAGTATTCCCTGGAAGCACAGCTCAGTGACTGTTCCCAGGTCCTCCAGCTCCCAGTACCTCCAGAGGGTGGGTTCCCCCCCTGGCAGGTCCAAATCACCCTCAAGACTCTCTGTAGAGCCCCACACAAAGTCCGTTCTGACCCTGCTGCTCCTTGGCCCTGACCCAGCCTCCTCCAAGCTGCTGCTGGAAGAGGGGCCCAGGGGAGGAACTGACATGCTGCAGACATGCTTGCTTGTCATGATTAGTTTTGCAGTCCCTCCACTGCATGTGCCCCAGCGGCCACCCAGCCCCTCACCACTGACCACCTCCAGCAGCCTCAGCTCTCCCTGCTCACGGGGTTCCAGCCACCCCGTTACTGTGGTTGGGATGCAGTGGTCCTCCTGGGCCGCACAACAGCCCTTGGATTAACTGTACCCCCGGGCTGGTGGATGCTGCAGCCCCCATCTGAGGGCCCAAAGCGCTCTGTGCAGCCATGTGCAAAAGTCCATCCCGGTGGGGCTAGGCTGAGCATCACCACTGCTGCTGCTCTCGGTGCCACAGTGCTGGTGTCAGGTCCCATGGCACCCACATATGGCACCAGCACTATGGGGTGCCTGTTGCCAGCCCAACCGTGCTCCCACCACTGACCCAAGGAGCTGCTGGCAGCCCCACCACAGGGTGCAGGCGGTGCCACGAGCGCTGGAGAGGATCCTGCACAACACAGTCAGCTCAGCAGCACCCACGCAGCCTGCCCGTGGTGAGGAAACCAGGGTGAAGCCCAAACCCTTCTCTTGGCAACCCTCACAACAAACAACCCCTCTGAGAGGCACCGGGTGCTGTTCTGCTGCAGGAGTGTGTCAGCCACAGCGGATCTGGGGCTCTGCCGTGTTGATACTGCAGCGCTCAGCCTGCGCTGGGGCGATGGAAAGAGACTGTGTGGTCCCCCAGCCCAGCACTGAGCATCACCATGACCCAGTGGAGGCAGCACCAAGGGATGGGCTGGGGCTGGCCTGTTAAAAACCCCCTTCCCACAGTGCTGGTGAGGCTTTTGTGATGCCCTGAGGCAGAACGGGACCACGGCGGAATAAACACGTGTCAGAGCAGAGCATGAGGGCAAAACGCCTGCACCAGTGACTCACAGGGGAAATACGTCCCAGTGACACAGGGGTGGCTGCCACCACCCACGTGCATGGCAGGGACTGTCCCCACGGCTCCTGCTGCCCTCACCCCCATGGTGTGGGCTGAGTCTCCCCGGGGTGTGGTGTGCCAGCCCCCACGGGACATCTGAGCATCATGGGCAGATCTCGGAGCATCCCCACCACCCCTAGTCCCATCATCCTGCTCTCCTCCCATCTTCTGGCTGCTCAATAGGACCTGGGTTTCTGTCGGGGAGGCAGATCGGAGGCTGCATTATGCAGCGTGGGGAGAGACAGTGGAAAGTGTCCTCAAGTGTGACCTGCCCTGCACCTGGCTCCTGCCTTTGCTCTCACCCCTGACTGTGCAGGATCAGTGCGTGCTCAGCAGATCCCTGATGCAGCACAGCCCCAGGCTGGCAGATGAAGTGACCAGTATCCTCCTGATCAGCATGCCAGGAGCCAAGGGGTGAGGGAAGACACTAAAACCGTCTCATTTCCTGCTCAGACAGTTGCAACAAAGCGATACGTGGCCCTGCTCCACACAGACATCACAGGGAAGGAAGGGATGAGCAGAGCCCCACGTTCCTCCTCTCCCTGAGCTCCTCCCAGTCATCTCAGTGCTCACGGGGAAGCTTTTCAAGGGGGGAACCTGGACAGAGCATCCCTCAGAACCAAATCCCCCTCAGCTGCCCCGGGGTCCATCTCCTGCCTGCCCCAGAGCCACTCACCTGCAGGGGCACCCAGGACCCAGCCAGGCAAGGGGCTGAAAAGCCCCATCCTCTGGGTACTTGCTCCTGGGGCTGCTGCGAAGGGCGGTAACCAGAGGAAGCATCACCAGGGCACATCCATCAGGAACTGGGACACTTGGAGCAGCATCACCCACCACAGCCTTTCCCAGCACTCTGGGAACATACACACAACCCGGCTCTGCGTAAGGGAGCCCTGTTTGCCTCTTGTTCCTGTAGGTGAACCAAGAAATACTCTCTGTAATGCATCTTTAGGGCAAAGTAGGTGGCTTTTGAGCATCAACAGGAGCAGAGCAGGTCCCGCAGCACCACAAGCACAGGGCCAGCAGAGCAAGAGGAGCAGGCAGTGGCTCATCTGCCCTAGCACATGGAGGTAAAAGGAATGGACTCCGTCCTCCTCTTGCACCTCCACATACTCCAGAAGCCAAAGCCATGTGATGGGACATCTGAGGAGCTGCCAAGGCTACTTGTCCACCTTACAGCTCCTGAGCCTCCAGTACAAGGCTCCAGCCCTCCTCTCCTGCCCTCCATCCGGGTCCGGGTTGGCTGGATCCATCCCCATTGGAGCAGCCAAGCTCCCTGAGAGCTCTTGGGGCTGCTCCAGAGAAGCAAAGGCTCAGGTTTACCCACAGGAAAAGACTGGACACATACAGAGACAAGCAGACACTTCCAAAGCCTTCATACAAACACATCCCTGTACAGCTCAGCCTTTTTACACTATTTACAGCAGCAGCCGGGGCACAGGCAGGGGTCGGGCTTGAGGCTACTAGTGCAAAGCAAAGGGCCAGCAGTGGTCGTCACTGCCTGTGACACATCTGCCACGGGAAAAGGCTTCCCTGACCCAGGAGGGGACACCAAATTCTTGCTGACACATTGCACGCTCATCTTCCTCAAAACCAGCCAGGGTTCTCCTCTGGCTTCAACAGTGGCACAGACTCCATTGACCCCCCAAGTCACAAGAGATGGGCAAAGCCTGCAGTGCTGCATCCAGCTTTGGGGGAACAGTAAGAGAGGGATGTGGAGCCGCTGAGCAAGTCCAGAGGGAGGCCATGGAGATGCTGCAAGGGCTGGAGCAGCTCTGCTCTGGAGCCAGGCTGAGAGAGCTGGGCTGGGTCAGCTGGAGAAGAGAAGGCTCCTGAAGGGGAGACCTGAGAGCAGCTTCAGTGCCTGAAGGGGCTGCAGGAAACCTGGAGAGGGGCTTGGGACAAGGGATGTAGGGACAGGCCAAGGGGAATGGCTTTAACCTGCCCGAGGGGAGACTGAGCTGAGCTTTTAGGCAGAAGCTCTTCCCTGCGAGGGTGCTGAGGCGCTGGCACAGGGTGCCCAGAGAAGCTGTGGCTGCCCCATCCCTGGCAGTGTTCAAGGCCAGGTTGGACACAGGGGCTTGGAGCAAGCTGCTCTAGTGGAAGGGGTCCCTGCCCGTGGCAGGGGTTGGAGCTGGATGAGCTTTAAGGTCCCTCCCAACACACAGTCTGGAATCCTCTGTGATCCTCCACCAAGAGCTCTCCTCATCTCGGCACTGGCAGAATCCTGCAGGAGTGGAGCAGGGTCCCCATAGCTGGGGCAGTCTGTGGTGGCTGGCACAGGGCATCACCCTGCAGGCGGTGGGGCAGTAGGGGCGCAGAAGCAGAGGGTGTATCAGGAATACACGGGGCTCATCTGCTGCAGGTTCTCGTCTCCAAAGTCACCACCGAAACCACATCTCACATCTCTGCAGGACAGTGAAGGGGGGAGAAGAACACTGGTGAGATGGCTACTGGGGGCAGGAGGCTGCTGGTGCTCCGCACCCCTCCAGGCAGCACCAGCAGCAGGATTAGAGCAGAGACCTGCTGGGGGGCTCCTGTTCTCTTAGGAGGGCTCAGTGCCAGCAACAGCACCACCTCTCACTCGCCACCACCTTATCTTGGGCACTGGGGAAGGGAACAGATTCTGGGAACTGCGACTTGTGGGGCCTGCCTAGAGGGAAATGCTTCATTTGGTTTAAATCCAGTTCCCTGCTTGGGCTGTCACCCGGGGACCCCTCTGGGGAGGGAGCACAGCCTCTGCCTCAGCTTCCCCAGCAAGGAAGCTAGCAGGGAGCAGACCCCCATGGCAGGGCAGGGCTGGTGGAGATGCCAGCGCAGCACCACCACCTGCCCCAGCAGGGCCTGGCCATGGGCTGGGATTCCCCCTCTGCCACCACAGACACCCTCGGGAGCAGTTCCTGCTCTGCACATGCACAAGTTTCACTTCCACAGGCACACGTCAAGCGGTGCTTATCGAGTCCAAATCCTCCCTTTTCCTCCCTCCAGATGGGATATTTCCACAGAGCTGACTTTGCAGGCTGGGGAATGCCACAAGGGGAAAACACACTTTTCCATCTCCTCACTGTCCCCCATAGCAAAGAGAACCCTCCGTGCAGCAGTCACAGAGATGCTGCAGGCAGGGCAGAGCCACAGGGTCTGCAAACCTTCCGAAGGTGCCAACAGCTCTGCAGATTGTGCTGCTTGGCACCTTTCTGCAGTGGAATTCCTGTCCCAGCTGAAAGCACTTGGAGAGGGATGGGGGGGACATCCAGGTGAGCCCCCAACAAAAGAAAGGACAGAAGGATCCCACCTGCAGCCAGACCCAGGCTCTAACCCTGCAGCCGGAGCCTCGCTGGCAGCAGTGCTGGGCCAGGCTCTGCCAAACTGGAGGTGATGAAGAAGTCCCATCCCAGTGTCCTGCCCCACTGGCTCAGGGAACAGCAGGATCCGAGCTGTGTTTGTACCTTCCAGCACTTTATCCAGGTCTGCAATGAACTCATCCAGCTCCTGCGTGTCACCAAGCTTTGCTGGTGGAGAGAAACAGAGTCAGGTCTCTTCCATTCCCCAACATGAGAAAGAAAAGATCCTACCCCTTGCTTCCAAGCACCACTGCTGCAGCTGCCTGCTGTGCCTGTGCCAGCCAAGAGCTGCCTGAAGGCAGTGGGAGGGGGTTTGGGAGCTGCATCCATAACAGGGACCTGAACTGCGCAGTTCAGTACTAATCCCAGCCACACACCCCCAGGTAGCTCCACATCACCCATTCTGCTGCAGGATGCTCCTGTCTGCACACACACCTCAGAGCTGAGAATGCTATTGAAGGCAGCATGGGCAGGACTAACTGCCTGGAGACATAGCATTTCCTGCCCCAAAGCATATCCAGTAGGGCTCCACCAGCACCCCTCCTGGGGCCAGCCCATGGCTGTGGAGCTGAGACAAACGTGAGGGGGAATCCCCAGCAAAGAGCCCTTCAGACAGCCTGCTCAGCCTCACCTTTGGAGGGGTAAGCACTGGCTGGGGTGTTAAGGTCCTCCTCGCTGCAGTTGAGGCTGCTTCCTGGGGACGTGCTGGTACCTGCAGTTGTGAAGCATCAGTCACCAGCCACAGCCACAGGCACCTTATAATAAAGCTGCAGGGGCAGGGACTGATCATGCGCATGGCACACAGCCCTGGTCCACCCTCGCTCTTGGCCCATCTGCTCTGCCCCTGCTATGAGGACTACTTGGGAAAAGGAAACTGAGCTGCTCTGCCAGGTCCAACAGCACCAGAGGTTGCCTGAGCACAGCCAGGGTTATTATAACGAAGCAGCTCCCTCTGAGCTTCGGGTTATCTCAACCCTTGTGCCATTCTGCAGCAGCCAATGCAGCAGATGTTGGCAGCCCCTGGGTCAGCAACCCATGCCCACGATGGGCCAGGTGAGCAACTCGGAGGCAGGACCAGCAGGAAGCTCGGTAGTTTGCCACGGAGGTTTGCCCCAGAGCTCCCAGAGCTGCTCCATCCCGAGGGACACCATCCCCTCCAGGACTCCTCCTCGCTGCCCAGCCCTGACTCACTCTCCAGCTCATCGATGCCGCTGTCGTACACCCTGGTCCCTGCTTTCCTCTTCAGCTCCTCCAGATGCTGCTCGTACTGACGCGCGGGGCCCCTGTCAAAGCCCTCCATCACTTCATCAAACTCCCGCAGCAGGTCACAGAGCTCGTCGGCCATCGCTGGGGACGAGGCCAGCCTGAGGCAGCACCGGCACACGGCGGCCCGGGGATGCTGAGCTCGGCGGCAGCGGCGGAATCCCGCGGGTCTGCGGGAAAGAGGCGGGGAAGAGCCGATGGGGGCCGCGCTCGCACGTGGCGGGGAACAGGACACGGCCAGAAGCTGCCGCCGGAGCCCCGCGCTCCCTCCGCCCCCGGGAATGTCCCAGCAGGGGGTCCCGGTGCGGAGCCCTCCGGGAGCGGAGGGACCGGGGGGGGTGGAAGGAGACGACGGCGCAGCACTCACTGTCGGGCGCGCTCCGGTCCGGCCGGCGGCAGCGCGAGCTCCGCCGATCGCGGCCGTTTTAACCCCGGGGCCGCCCCGGACGCTGGGCGGAGCGTCCCGGAGCCCCCTCCCCTGCGCACCGCAGTGCTCCCACCTATCCCCTGCCACCGTGGGTCCGGGGGCGGTATCTCCCCTGTCCCCCCACGGCAGGACCAGGGATGACATCCTCCCTCCCCGCCCCCGAACTCATCTCGTGACACCCGGGACCCTCGGAGGTGGGGACAAGGGGCCTGAGGACCTTGGTCCCGAGGAGCTGGGCGGCCTAAACCCAGCCACGGGGATCCACCCTAGGCGGGCAGCTGCCGGCATCATCTCTCCGTCCCAGCCCTGCCTCCGCCCATTCCTTGCCTCCATCCCACCCCAGCTCCCTCCTTAGCGCTGCTGGTCCTCTGCATGGTGGGATCCCGGGCCAGGCTGGCTTCTCCCTCAGCTGGAAATGTTCTTGAGACCTTTACGATTCCTGCCAGGTGCCCTTTTCCTTCCCTGCATCACCAGCCACCAGGATGTGAAGTCCTGTAGGATGTTTCCCACATGTCTTTGCTCTCCTTTAACTAAGCTCCACAGAACACACCATGTGTTCAAGGCCAGGTTGGACGGGGCTTGGAGCAAGATGCTCTAGTGGAAGGTGTCCCTGCCCGTGGCACGGGGCTGGAACTGGATGACCTTTAAGGTCCCTTCAACCCGAACCAGGCTGGGACTGTATGAAATACTGACGCACACCCAGCAGTGACAGCACAGGGTGCTTTTGAGGGAGAAAAAGCCTGTGTCCTTCTCAGGAAGCCATTCCTGGGTTCTGCTGTTGCTTCTCAGTGCTGGGCTGCCCTCCCGTGGAGTTCGTAGCAATATCCCCGTTGGTAGCCAGAGCAGTTTCTAAGCCTTGTGATGTGTACAAAGACCCAACAGGGATTGTTGCCTTCCCTGTAGTAAGAATGACCGCGGGCTTCCCCACAAGCCCTCTTTTGCCCATCACCCCTCATCTTCTCCATGTGATTCCATGAAAAAGGGAGTCTCTGCCACCCTCTAAATACTGGAACATGGGGATAAGGTGCACTCTGAGCCTGCTTTTCTCCATCCCACGCAGGGAAGGCTGCCCACATCACCTGCTTTTTTCTTGGGTTCCAAATTCTTGGTGGACCTTGGAAACAGCTCCGAGAGCTCCACCACCGAGGGAACACCTCATCCTCCTCAGCACATGGCTGGTAACGGCCTCAGGCTGCCAGGACTGCCAGGAGATAAGTGTCACTGCACCACATGGGAACAGCACCACCACCGCTGGCAGTGGGCCGAGGAGCAGTCACCCTGACACGCCAGAGGCTGCCTGGGAGGAACGTGGATGGTCCCCAGAGGTGCAGCTCTTGCAGGTGGTGTAATCCTGTAGTATGTCTGCGCAGAGCAGTGTGGACATGGTGCTGTTACACAGACGGTGCTCAAGTGTGTTGGTGGCCTCAAAACCTTCAGCAGGCTCATGGTACCCTGAGTTTATCCGCTCCTGCAGACCCAACGGCACCACTCAGCTCCAGAGCTTATCACTGCTTGTGGGGCTCTCAGCAGTTATCTCTCAGCACATGCTCCTCTGCTGTTCTCCAGCGACTGCTTCTCCACCTGCCCCAACTGTACCCATCCACAGGGAAGGGACCTTTTCAAACAACTCATCCCTGAGCAGTGCTGCTGCTGTACCCTGAGAGAGGGACCACCCATCGCAGATGCTGCTGAGGCTGTGGTGGGACTCATCCTCCTCCTCTCATGAGTGGCACAGGAATGCTCCCGCATCCACCACCAACCTTCCTGATGTTACAAATGTGGCCAAAGCCATAAGGCTCCTCCAGGCATTGATCCTCCTCTCACCCTCCCACCCTCCCTCACCATCATCCTACCTGCCTGCCCTCTCTTCAACTGCATTTCTTTGGAGGCAAGATCTCAACTGAACATGACACTTTCTAACCCAAACCATTCCATCTCTGTGATTCCGCCAGATCAGCTACAAATGCACATTTGCACATAACCAGCCAAGAATTCCAGTGCCTGAGAAGCAGGAACAAACCAAACCAGCCATTTCACAGCCAAAGATCATGAAATGACACCATAATGTGTAAAATACATCAGAAGGTCTAACCTACTGAATATGAATTTAAGCAAAATTGAAGTTTATAGTCCTCAGAGCATACTGTGCTCTCCTGCTACACCAGCCATGTATTTTGGGGTTGATACAGTGTTTTACTATCTGTAACATTAGCAATCTTAAACAGGGTTAAAACAAAGAAGAAACCTGTGATTCAGTCTGAACGGAGCAGGCTGGGGTGTCTTTGCACCGGGGTTGCTGTTCCTGTAGCTCCATGGGCATTCCTCCAGCTCCAGGAGAGCTTTCTCTCCACACAACAGCACGTGGTAAGTGATATCCCAAACCCCAGCTGCATTTTCCATCCTCACTGCCCTGCTAACATTCCCCATCCACTCGGCGTCAGGACAGTATCCTCCTCCTCTGCACAGCGGGGCTCGGCCCCAAGGTATTGCTCCCCCATCTCTGTAAGCCGCCAGCCTGACCAGTGCCTGGAACTACACCAGATGGGATCAGTTCTGGACCTCCAGGTCGCATCCCCCAGTCTGTCAGACACCAGCCTGCTGCTCTCCAGCCTGCATGCCATCGGATTGTCCGCTGGTGGCAAAGGGGCTCCAGCAGGTGCTCATGCTCCTGTCACAGCTCCACTGCTCTGACATGGCACAGAGGACGTGGCTCGTGCAGAAGGGTTGCCAAGCTCCCCAGTCCTGTCCGCAGTGCAGAGGGGCTGGCCCAGCACTGCTAGATGCCAACATCCAGGTTTAGGAATGAGATGCTGCTGTACAGCTCCGCTGAGAGAGAGCTGCTCTCCAGGCTGCGGGTGCACTCTGGCAGCAGGGATGGAGCGTGCTCCTCTCTTGAATCCTCACTCTCTGTGCTCCTAAAAGTGAAAAGAGAGAGATGTGCTATTTGCAGACTGCTTCCATTGCCAGTTTCACACCCACACAGCCTCTAGCAGTGACTCCAAAGATTTGCCATCTCTTCGGACAGTCCCAAAAGGGATGTGAGGACAGACAAGCAGCAGGAGCATAAGGTAACCTTACAGTTCTTAAGGTCTGTGCTCTGGGAACCCACTTTGTACAGGACAGTCCATGTCAGCTGAAGGAGTCACCAGCTCTACAAGGAGACTCAAGACTGCTAAGCTGCCCTGCTTCACGCCATAGGGGAGCAAAACACCTCCTCTGTTACATGCCATGATCATGGGCTCAGATCATGGGACATGAGACCCTTTTACTCCACCTTCTTTACTCACAGGGAAGGGCATGAGCTCAAACTCTGAGCCTCTCTGGGACTTCCCTCACAGCCAAAAAGCAGAGGTAAAGACCCAGCTGGCAGTCACACACAGACCCGTGCTCACAAGACAGGCAGAAAGTGTACAGGAGTTCAGACAGCACCAAGGGTGAGGAAAACCTGGAGAAGGCTGTTGATGGAGCCAATAATGGAGCGAGCATCAGTGCGTGGTCCTGAGAGGCTGGAGCAGTGGAGGCCCACGAAGATGTGTGCAGTGGGGGAGCACTGGTGCAGAGTAGGTTTGGGTGAAGGAGGGAGCATAGGACAGACTGGGCAGGAAGAAAGGAGAATAAGAAGCTCCAAGGGATGGAAAAGCTGGGATGTGAAGGTGCTGAGGCGCTGGCACAGGGTGCCCAGAGAAGCTGTGGCTGCCCCATCCCTGGCAGTGTTCAAGGTCAGGTTGGACACAAGGGCTTGGAGCAAGCTGCTCTAGCGGAAGGGGTCCCTGCCCATGGCAGGGGTTGGAGCTGGAGGAGATCTAAAGCTCCTCCAGCCCAAGCCAGGCTGTGGTTCTGTGGTTGCGTCTCAGCGGTGGGTGCCAGCACGGGCAGGGTTTGTGCCCCTGCAGCTGGGCAGGGACTCACGGCGCAGCACGGAGCCTCCGGCGCAGCAGGTACTTGATGATGTCGGGGTCTGTCTGGAAGAGCCTCCTGAGGATGTGTTGCTGCATTTCGGGGGACACCTGCCCGGGACACACAGACACGCTCGTGGCACCTCCTCTGCAGGGCAGGGAGGGCAGCGAGGGGACACCAGGTCCATCCCTGCTCACAGACACCCTGTGCTGGGGTGACTTCCCACGCACCACCCAGGCCTGAGCAGGTCTCGGCCCTGCTTTCCCCACACCAGTCCTGCTCCTTTGGCTCCCTGCAGACCTGACTGTTGCTACAAGGCTTTTCTGGGAGCTGAAGTGTCATGTTCCCACAGACCCGCAGGGAGGGGACATTTCTGGTACTTCTTGGGAATTTCCCGGGTCCTTTCCTAAAACCAGGGCCAGGAAGAATGCTCAGTGTATGCTCCTGCTAACCCAGAGGGCTCTGCTGGGGCTTCCAGAGAGCTGCACAGGCCCCATGGGGCTGTCCCCAAGGAGAGCAGCCACTTCAGCTACAAGACCACTTGGTGCCCACCTGCACTGCATCCCATGGGGACAGCTTCCCTCTTCCTGGGTCTCCCATTTCTTCCTCTTATTTCCCCCCCTCACTGGGACTTTGGCGGGGGGGTATCAGTTCAGAGGAGCTGCTCCTGCACTTGCTGTTTCCTGCCCCAAATGAGCTTGGTCAGATGTCACTGGGGTGGAAAGTGACAGAGAGGAGGGGATCTGTTCATGGCACGACTCAGCTCTGCCTTTACAATGCAGTAACAAGCCATCCCAAATTAATATTTACAGCTGCCATGAGGAATGAATCCCGTTTTCACAAGCCAACTGGAGCAGGGCAGTGAATCTATCCTTCCTTCTGCTCCTATTAGAATTGTTCAGAGGGGAAGGACAGGTCTAGAGAAGCTGCCCTGAGGAAGCCACACGTACCATGAACAGGGTCTCGTGATGCTCAATCAGCCTCTGGAGCACCAGTATGACTGCAGCGCTGTCCTCATAGTTCATAGCAGCAGCGTCTTTCTCTCCAGGCCTCTCTTTCTGCAGGATGTTGGGACCAAAGATCGTGGCCAAGTTTGAAACTGTCATTTTATTCCCAGGAATCTGGCAGGCAACCATGAAAGGAAATCACACGCTACAGATGCACCAGCAGGAGAGGTCCCGGGATAGCCTCACCCCCCTGGTCAGGAACATGAGCTGCTGGGTGATGCTAGGGTGTTAATACGGCTCCAGATTTGGTCCTCCCTAAGCCCGTGGCAGAGCCAGCCCGGAGAGACCCGCACATCAGAGCCTCCATCCTCACGTCCCCCACTTCCACCACCGCCACCAAAAGGCAACACCCCTTTATCCTTATTGTCATCTCCGGGACAAGACCAGCGCCTCCGAGCCACAGACCTGGCTCAGATCGGCAGAGAAACACCCACCCACACACACCCACACCCACCCACACACACCCACACACACACACACACACCCACACACCCACCCACACACACACCCCCACACACCCACCCACACACACCCACCCACACACACACACCCACACACACCCCCACACACACACCCACACACCCACCCACACACACCCACACACACCCCCACACACACCCCCACACACACCCCCCCCCACACACACACCCACACCCCCACACACACACCCACACACCCACCCACACACACCCACACACACACACACACACACACACACACACCCCCCCACACACACACACACCCCCACACACACCCACACACCCACACACACACACACCCACACACACCCCCACACACACACCCCCCCCCACACACACACCCACACCCACACACACACCCACACCCACACACACCCCCCCCCCCCACACACACACACACCCCCCCCCACACACACACCCCCACACACACCCCCCCCCACACACACACACCCCCACACACACCCACACACACACACACCCCCCCACACACACACACCCACACACACACACACCCACACACACACACACACACCCCCACACACACACCCACACCCACACACCCACACCCACACACACACACCCACACACACCCACACACCCACACCCACACACACCCACACCCACACACACACACACACACCCCCACACACCCACCCACACACCCCCCCTCCACCCCGGAGCGGGGAAACCCGAACCGCGCACAGGGACGGAGCCCGCAGGCGCCGCGCAGCCTCACCTCGCGTCCGTCGGGGCGGCGGGAGCCCCGCGCGTGCCGCGCCACCTCGGCCAGCAGGAGCAGGAGCCGCCGCAGGGTGTCGCTGTGGCCCGGCGGCAGCAGGAACAGCAGCAGCTGCAGCGCCCCCAGCTGGGCCGTGCCCGCCATGGCTGCGCACAGAGCGGAGCCCGTCGGTCCTCCGGCCCTGCGGGGACTGGCGGCTGCCGCGGCCCAGCCGGGCAGGGTTGGCTCCCACCGCACGGCCCCGCAGTCCCTGACTGCCCCCGGGCAGAGGGATGCGTGTAACCCAGGTATCAACAACCAGCCCCAAAGCACGGAGGGCAGCATCCGCAAGGGCGTGAGCCAGCAGCGCGTCACTAATCCAGCGGCTCTCAAGTGGATTTGGTGAAGGAGGGTAAGGAAGGATGTGGGAGCCAAGCAGAAGCTGGGCAAAGAAATGGAGCAGAAACCCTCTACAGGCCAGAAAACCTTAAGAGATCAGGCTCAGGTTCCATAATGCAAATTCCATGTCTAGGACTCCAAGTAAAAGACACCAAAGGAAAGCCATTGCAGCCACTTCCAGCCAGGATGCAGTACTGCCCTGCTTTTCATCCCCATTTTCCTGACCTCCCTAAGGATACCCCATGCTGAAATATGCCCAGTCTCATGTCATACTTATCCCGAAGAAGCTCCATGCTGTGTGCCCACAACCAGCAGACACGTGTGCAGTCCCATGCCTTTGCTCAGGGGTGATTTCAGCAAGAATAAGGTCAGTTGACACTCCTGCTTCACAGTGCACATGTGCTCTGTGCTCAGAAAACTGAGCTTGAGGACAGAAGATTGCTTTGTACCTTCCACTACATCCCTGCACACCCTTGTTCCCACCATCATGTGCCCTGTTGCCCCCCTGACATGGCACAGCCTGGTGACAAGCTGCTCATTTCTGATGTGGAAGCAGGGATTCAAGGATCTGGAGAATCAAACCTGAGCAGAGAAGGATGGCAAAAGGAGAACAAAGAGGCGGTGAAGGAGACGAAGGAAGAGCAATTCTGGAAACTGTGGAGACTGCCCAGAAACCCAGTCACCCAGAATGTGGAGGGCAAGGATTTGTCAAGGCACCTTTCAGCAATACAGAGTTGTGCTGGGAGCTGGTAGTGCACCAGGGAATTACTCAGGAATTCCCTTTTTGCCCCCTTACAAAAGCAGCAGTGGAGGATGGGCTGGGCAGAGGCTCTGCACTGCGAGTACTCACAGGCTGTGCTGAGGAAGGCTGAGTAGAGCTCTCTGGGAATCAGGGGATCCGGCATGTCTCGAAGAAACTCTTTGAGCAGAGCAGCCACATCGTGAACACTTTGATGCTCATCCAGGAACACGTCCAGTCCTCGGTCAAACTCCTCCCTCAGCTTAAAGATGGGAGAAATGAGAATAAAGCAAAGTCAGGTCTTCCTCTTTATATGAGCCATGCTGTCAGGATCTGTTCCCGTTCAGAGCTACCACAGTGACAAGGGCCTGCAGGGACAGGCCAAGGGGAATGGCTTTAACCTGCCAGAGGGGAGACTGAGCTGAGCTCTTAGGCAGAAGCTCTTCCCTGTGAGGGTGCTGAGGCGCTGGCACAGGGTGCCCAGAGAAGCTGTGGCTGCCCCATCCCTGGCAGTGCTCAAGGCCAGGTTGGACACAGGGGCTTGGAGCAAGCTGCTCCAGTGGAAGGGGTCCCTGCCTGTGGCAGGGGTTGGAAATGGAGGAGCTTTAAGCTACCTCTCTCATTCTGGGATTCTGGGATTCATTCCCCACCCACACAAGCATCCATCCCTTGGATGCTGCACCGCCATGGAAGATGCAGTAAATGTCTCTTTACCTGCTGAACTCTTTTCTTGGAGCTTCCGACTCGGAAGATGCCCACAGTGTGGAGACCTGGGAGACACAGAAGTGAGTGCTCTGCATCCCCACTGCTGTCCACTACCCTGAGCAGTCCTGGGAGCACCTCAGCATCATGATGTGGTTCTCCTGCACTGTCCATGAGGGGTTGCATCCGTCCCACTCCCAGCAGAGGGAGTAAGAAGAAGGGGTTTGGAGCCATAAGATTTTCTGGGGTTGCCTGTGGGTCAGGGAGGAAGCCTCATCTCTATTCACTGTGAGCTACTGAATTTGCAGGGGGAGTTAAGGCCAGAGTACACCAGATCTTAACACCAGGAGATGTGTCACTGATACACCTTCTCAGCCCAGATGCTACACCTAGTCCAAAGGACTCTTCCCAGGTTTTGGTAGCATTCCCTGCCCCAGGAATCAACTCCCTCCTCCCATCCTGGGGAACGGCCAGGGCAGGAATCCCCAGCCCACCATGCAGGATGGGTTTTACGAACCCACTGTGGGACCCAAGTACTTACCGTGCATCTCAATGTGTTTGCAGCATCTGTCCACGATCCGTGGGACCTGCCAGGTGATGGGGTTGAGGCTCAACACTTTCTTCTTGCCCAGGCTCCTCCCTGGACCCAGCTCATGTGGGTGTGACAACTGCAGAGCCTCCAGCAGCTTGGAGGTGTTGTCACTCAGGTCAGTGATGGAGTCCACGGACATCGCGCCCTGTGATGGAGCAGAGGTGGTTCCATCACTCTGCAGCCTGGGAAGTTTGCAGGAAAGGGAGGCATCACCTCCAAACGGACACAGGGGTCTGCAGAGCCTCTCCGGGGTGTCAAGAGAATATTGCTTCATGTGCACTGCTCCTAGTGCAAGGTGGTTCTGAAAGCCTTGCTACTGCAGCAGACCCTATGCCACAGGCAGACATGAGGAGAGAGGAAAACTGTATGGGGACAGGCTGAGAGAGCTGGGCTGGTTCAGCCTGAAGACAAGAAGGCTCTTTAAGGGGAGACCTTAGAGCAGCTCCAGTGCTAAAGGGGCTGCAGGAAACCTGGAGAGGGGCTTTGGATCTCCTCCTATCCCTGTCTCCCTCTGGAGAAGGTTTTGGCTGGCTGGCCATGTCCTTCTGGTGACATTGGCTCCATAAGGGGCAGTGAAGTGTCCCACCCCTCACAGCCCACCTCTGGGGGGAGCTGGGGCACCCCATGTCCCTGAGGGCAGACAAGACCAGCATGCAGCACCACATCCATTAAGACCAGACCCTAAGCCACACTGGCTGTGGAGCTCAGCACCCTCAGCCCAGCACCATCACCGCCCAGTTCACAGCATACCCTCCGCTGGCGCCAGGACTCGCTGCTGGGCAGAGCAGGGGGAAGCGGCTCCTTAGGGAGGGCCCCACAGGGCACCAGGCTCCTGCCCATCCTCTGGTGCCTCTGGGCCTGGAATGTCCTCACGGTCGCCTCCACCTCCAGGCAGAGCCGGCGGCTGCTCCTCACCGCCTCCTGCAGCTGCCGGTGCACTCGGTCATTGGCGATGACCTGGGAGAGCGGGATCCCGAAGGTCTGAGGGGAGCAGTCTAGGGCAGAACGTGGGAGCAACAGAGCAGTGTCACCAGCAGGAAAGAAGAGGGGGAGTCCAGTGCCAGGGCTGTGTGTGCCTGGGTAGAAGAATGGACTGACAGAGCAAATACCAGGATACTGTGAAGGGAGAGTGGAGAGGACAGCAAATAAAACCAGTTCCATACACGACAAGGAGATCTGTAGCATGAATCCAGGACGAGAGCCCTGAATCAGTGCCCTTGTCTCCTCCTGCTCCCTGCTCCTCCTCAAGCTCCCCAGGAGCACCCAGGAAGAATATCCCCAGGGCACGATGTGGTGGGACTCAGGGTGCAGGGCAGGCAGGAGCTGAGCAGGAGGGCACAGAGAGGGAGACAGCGAAGAAGAGGAAGGTGACCCAGGAAAACTGGCCTCCATCCACGGGCTTGCTGCAACCTGTGCCCAGTTTTCCTGAGCTTTCCTTCTTTCAACTGGTTACAGCCTCATAGTGTCTGTGAGGTGGAAGCTTTATAAATCACCAGAAGTATTTGATGCAAAAGATTCTCAACAAGTTCTAACCTCCAGTTCCAGTGTAAGAACCTCGGCTACATCTGCCCCAGAACTGTCACTGTTGATAGCATTGTCCCCAAATGACTTTTCCAGAGGACTTTGTGCTGGTGTGAGGAAAATCAGTGAATTCCTCAGAAGCAACCTGCTCTAGTGGAAGGTGCCCCTGCCCATGGCAGGGGTGGAACTGGAGGAGCTTTAAGGCCCCTTCAACCCAACCCCGTTCATGATTCCCAACTGGCTGTGCACTTCAGTTCTCCCCAGGTTCGTGGCTAACATCCACAGTAAAACAGACCCTGAAGCAGCGAGACCAGGGGTAAAATGAGCAGATAGAAACAGTGATGTGTGTACAGCTTTACAGCTCATGCACACACATCCCTTTCAGATGCTCTCATGCTTCTACATGTATCATTACACCCCTTCTGGAGAACAGCCAACACGGGACATAGCTCTTGCTGAATGTGGGCATCTCCCATCAAAAATCACCAATTCCACTTGCGAGCAGGGACCAGGCATGGGCACAGGGGGGCTGCTCACCCTTCTTCTCCTTCGAGAAGCTCTCCAGCTTCTGGCGGATGGATTTGCTGCCTTTAGGTCTGGCTATGAGGAGAAAAGAAAGCAAAGGTTCTGCATCATTAGGCTCGTTTAGTACCATCTCCCCTTACAGCCATTTGCCTTCCACCCCCTCGCCCCAGAGCATGGCCACAGGCACCTCCCATGGTGGACGGATGGTGTGGGGCTGCTGTGGCCGTGGCTCAGAGGATGCCTGAAGCACCCTGTTGCCATGGCCCAGAGGATGCTGTTTCAGCCGCCTGCAGGAAACAGCCCCAGAGATTGGCACCATCCTTCCTGAGTGAAAGGAAGTGCTACGGCAAGGGGCCCAGATGGGTTCTCACATGTGGAAGAGCAGCAGGAAAACTTCAGCTGCCCAAAGGCTGCAGCTTAATCCTGTTCTGGCCACCTTTCAATTCTGTATGCACCTTGTACATGACTCGGTATCGATGATGATGTTCTAGCAACTGCCTAATGACCCTAGAGGATGCCCTAATTCATCCTCCGAGGCCTGGTCTCCACACTGGAAAAAGGAATCCAGCCCTGGAAAAGCTTTTGGGAATGTCTGACAGAGCACAAGGACAGTTAGACAAAACATCCCACCGGAAACCCATCTGGCCCTGGGGAGGCAAGTGCTGCTCCTCAGCATTCCCATGTTGCACATCCAGGGGCAGCAGCCAGCAGCAGTGAACTGAAAACTCATTCACAGCCTCCCTTAAATCCTTCCAGGGCACATTGCCCTATTCTGGCTTGTGCTCCTTATTCCTGTGGAATTCTCTTCTAGAAACAGCCTGTGTAGTTGTTTGGGTTATGGTGTAAGATTTAGAGGCAAGTTATAGCAGTCGGTATGAGCAGCACGTGCATGTCACTACATCAGTCATTCTGCAGCACCATTTGCGTTGTTTCATTCAAATGACCAGACACAGCAGGAAGACAAAGAACAACCCAGAGCTAAGTGAAGGTCGCCCAAAGTCTGGTTCACAGTGAGGGGGCACACACTGTAAACGCTCAGCCTCAAGCTGCCTGGAGACACAAGCATTACAAGAGGTGCTTAACGCCTTTTTGTTAAGGAAAATATCAACTGTGCAATGGCTGTTTGTGAAAGGCAGCAGGAATTTTGTGTGGGCAGATGCTGGGGGCAAGCACACAGATGAATGGAGCCAAATGGAGACCATGCAGCCCTAATTCAGGTGATTCCAAACATCATGAATTTCCCTTTACAATGCTGGGATAGGAAACTGATGCTGCAGGTGCAATAGTTCCACACCTAATCCTCAGCCTCTCACGCTGCCTCGCAGCCAAGGAGAACAATGAGCAGGTAGAAACCTAAAGGCTGTGAAGATGGAGAAAGGAAAGGAGGGATTCCCCGAGAGCAACCGCTTCCTTCAGGAACCGGGTGAGCACAAAGAGCAATGTGCAAAACACACACAAGGATGAGGTGAGGACTCTGCAATCCCTGCACTTATCCCACAGGAAGAGGAGCTCATTGGACAAAATGCAGCACACTTAAAAGGGAATGCTGGAGGTTTTGCACTGGAGAAGCTGCTGTTGCAGGCTATTGCTGAGAATGGGATCTCACAGCTCAAAATGAGCAGGATGTTTGTGGTCTGAGTCCCCAGGGACTCGAAGGCAGAGTGGTCACTGGTGCTGCAGCCCTGGAGCAACTGAGAGCTCTGGGAATGAGAGGGGAGCATCTCCTGCCCTACTGGGACGGCAAAACACAGCCTGGGGCAGAGGAGGCGTTTCAAGGTGTTCTGTCCACTTGAATAAGGAGTGAACCTGGCAAGGAGTCAGCTATTCCCCCACTCACTGTCCTTGCCTGGTTAATGTGTAGATGGCAGCTACAGGAACCCAGACCGTGCCTCTGTCTATGTAGGCCAGTTCAGAGGAGCTCAGTCCCTCTGGAGCTTCTATATTTATCTGTCCATTAATTTCAGTATCACGTCTTTAGCCTTGCATAAACCCCATTCCAGCATCAGGACTTTGTGCTGAACATCAATCCAAGAAGCAAAGCTTATCCCATCTCAGTGGCATTAAGACAGTCCCAGTGGAAGACCTTGCCAAGGCATTCTGCATCTGGTTTGGATTAGGGGATCAGAGGCAGACAACAGGCAAGGTCACATTCTCACACTCCTATGGACACACAAACCCTCCTCAAAAGGCTGATGAGGTCTTTAACGCTCAAACCAAAGCAGGGGAAAAAATATAAAATGGACCAAAATGTGACGCAAAAGCCTTTCCATAAACATTTCTTGTTAGGAAGAGCGGGAATGGGGATGAGCAGCACGAATGGCTCAGAGTTCCCCTCCTTCAGCAGCAGCCGTCCTCACCCACTCCCTACCTTTAGCCAGGCTCAGATCTCCCAGGAGCAGCTTCTCCTGCAGCTGGTACAGGGCAATCTCTTGCAGACTGGCTCTCTCCAGCTCCGAAAGGCTGTGCAGGGGCACAGGCTGCATGTCCGTGCTTTGCCCTGGTAGCAGAGCAGGGATGAAGGTCTCTGAAAGGCATAGATAAAGACAGGAGAGTGAGGAGCACAGGGCAGAAACTGGAGGAGCTGGAGCAGGACAGGAGGAGCTGCTGGGAGCGCTGCAAGGTGTCTGCACATGAAGGGGACGTGGAGACAGCCCTCAGCTGCTGATGGCTTTTGGGTGTGTGGATGCTATACCCAGAGCTCCCACTCTGCTGAGGTGGGTGTAGGGGTTTCCTCTGAAGGGAGCTTCGGGATTTAAGTCATAAAACACTACTAAAGCCTACAAAGCAGCTCACATCCCCCCAAGCCACACTCATTCCCCTTTCCCCACAAGCTCCTCTCTGCCTTTCCCCTCACTTTACATCGGTTTGTTTCTTAGCTTAACACTTGGCACTGAGCCTCATGTCCTGTAAACGAGACCCTTAGAGCAGCGCCGCCCCAGCACCTGCACCCCCAGCACAGAGCTGGGTGCTGCCCCAGCCCTGCACCGGCCTGGGCACCCACGAACCCACCACTGCCCAAAGGGCAAAGAGCAGCAGTGAAGAGGAGCAGGGGCTGCGGTTACAGCGCGGGCACAGAAGATGCGGTCAGAGCAGAGGCTTCCGAAGAAGCCTTCCCACAGACGGCTTCAAGGCAAAAATAAAAACCTGGAAATCACCAACCGGGAGCCCATTACCACGACACGATTAAAACTGGGTCTGTTGGTGCCCACGACTGCCTCACACACTGGACTTGGGGTAACTCACCCCGTTAGAACTGCTGTGATCCTGCTTTCACGGCAGCTACGATAGGCAGCAGACGAAGCACCAGACTTGACCGAGTCTGAAGCTCAGGGGCTACGTTACCAAAGGGCTGGGAGTCATGATACCCAGTTACATTTCAGGTGGGGCACAGCCCATGCAGGTATTTGTGTTGGCTTAAAAAGGGGCGTTTTCATCATTAAACAGCACCAGGGGCTGTCCTTTAGGCTCCCCAGGTTGCTTTGGCCATCCCTCAGCCTTCTCCCTCCCAGGGCAAGCTCAGCCAGCAGCTGTGGGTGCCAGGCACAGCCTTCCCTAATTTTAACCCCCTGGACAGAAATCTGTGGAAGAAGCAGCCCTTTAGGAATGGATTTTATTGTCTCAACAGGGCTACATGGAAGAGGTCAGTCTTTAACTAACTGGTCTAGCCAAGCTTTGCAAGCAAAGATCCTGGAACATGAGCTGCCCTGGGAGAGCTGGGGGCACAGGTAAAACATTGGTTGTGACAGAGAAAAACGTCTCCACTAGCCTGCAATAGCTCCTGTTCCTGCCACACCAGGAATGAGGGAGAGCAGCAGCAGCACCGAGCAGCAGCCTCAAGGCAGGGAGGGAGCAGCTCGGCCACCAGCAGATGATGCAGTTGGACAGACAAACCCCAGGACAGATACACGGAAGGGAATTACCTTGCTGCAAGTGACCATCACAGCTTGGGCAGACCCACAGGCACAGCCCAGCCTGAGATGGGATGGTCAGAGTGGGGTCAGGGAGGATGCAGAGTCAGGGAGGATGCAGCTGCCGTGGGGCAAGGAGGAGAAACCCCTATTAGGAGAGGGAGCAGAACAGAGAGAAAGCAGGAAGGAGAAGACAGGGCAGATAAGCTGCTGCTTATCTGCCACTATGCAAGCATAAAACACTCTGAGAATAGCCCTGGGCCACTATCTCCTGCTGTCTGATGAACTCACACTTCAACTGTTTACCCCAAAACCCTGCCCTTACTGCTTGACACAAGTGTGACAACCACCAGCCTGGCTGGCAGCTCCTTGGCTGCCCCTGCCCCGAGGTGGGTGATGCCCCACGGAGCCCGGGTGGGCAGAATTCGCTCCAGCCTGGGCAGGCACTGGGGCTCCAGCAAGGAGCAGAACCAGAGTACGGCAAATCCCCTTCAGTGGGGGCTGCCGGAGGAGTCTCACTAACTCGAGAACAGGAATGAACTGCCTCTCACGGTGAGTGTTAACACGGCATTAGCAGTGCTAACATGGCATTGGCAGTGCTAACATGGCACTTCCTCTCTGCAATGACTTCCCCTGCTTATTTTTAGGACTAGGGCTTATTTAAGGGAATCTCATGGGAAAAGCTCAGCTCTGCGGCCCCTTCCATTCCCAAGGAGCTGCAGTTGCTCCCCATTTTCAGCAGCAGTAGGATGGAGCAGAGGGATGAGGTTTACCTTCCATGCAGGTGCAGCAGCACCCTGGGCTCCTTCTCTGCTTCCAGCGATGGGTTTCCAAGCAGCGGTCCCACAGCCTGCAGGGGAATGTTCCTGGTGCCGCCAGGAGAAGAGGAGCCGGGAGGAGCCGCTGCAGCTGAGCCAAGGGGAGGAGAGGGGTGATGAGAATGTGGGTTCCTGCCAAAACAGAGCAAGCCCGAAGCAGTGTGGAGAGAGGGAGGGCGGGGGCAGAGGGAAGGTTCAGCACTTCCCACGCCTGACGGTGTCTGCGCCTTGGCAAGGATCCATGATTGCTCAATCCATCTCCATCCCATGTCTTCCCCTCTCTTCCCTGTCAGACCAGGGCACCCAGGAAGCATCTGCTGCTCTGGCAGATGAGACCTGAAAGGGAAATCAGCCAAAGAGGGCCAATGGATGGTTTCCACCTTGGCTGCTCCTTCACAGCTGTCACAGTGACCAAACCCCTGCTGCAGGCAGGCAGGGCCTCCAGACACCACCCTCCACATCCACCGCAGCCCTGCAAAGCTCCAGCACTGACAAGCTCACAGATAGATGTGCTGCACATGTGGGCTACAGACCCCAGAGAGCCTTGCATGTACAGCAACCTGCTTCCCTCAATACAAGCACAGGAAACCCTTCACAGGCTGCTCCAGAGCTCGCATTTTCCCTGCGTACCCATCCTTGTCACAAAGTATGAGCTGGTGCAGCTGTGCTGCACAAGGTGTCAACCCCAAATACTGCCACCAGCAGCAAACTCCATCTGCTCGGAAGGAAGTGGAGGGGGGGATCATGGACCTCCAGTTCGCTGCCTGTTGAGTCAGAGACTGGAGAGGAAGCAGGAGTGTTGTGCAGCTGTTTGCTGGCCTGACATTTATGAATCCTTTTGGAATTTACTACAAGGACGGTGGAGCTCCATGCTGACAGAAATAAGGATGGAGCACCGCCCTCCCCATGGCCAGCAATGCAAGCTGGGTGAGAAAAAAGAAAGAAACAGGACCAAGATTTGCCTATAAAAACATTTATTTCTCAAAAATACAAGTTCCCCGCAGTCACACAACCATTGAGCATGTTGCTTTAGATGGGCTTTCACCTGCTTCTCATAGAGCAAGCCTTGGGTGCCAGAGCAGGGACAACGGGATGGGTTCCCTTCACCCATTCCTGCTGCCTGCACATGGAGCACTGCTTGGGGCCCTCACCTGCAGCTCCAGCTCCAGGAGGTGTCTGCTGCTATCCCAGAGCTCTCTCTGGAGACAGAGGAGGTTTGGTACCTGCAACAGCATCCCATTTGCCTCCTCACCATCCAGGGCGCCCATCTGCAGCACAGACTTCTCCTGGTGGCCAAGAGCACATGAGATGTCAAGGAAACCCCAGTCCCTCCCATGGACCTGGGTGGAGAGAGCCTGGAGACAGGAAGCAGCAGGTCCCCAGCCCCATTCAGCCTCGCTCTTACAGCATGGAGCCATCACTCCACAGGTCCCAGCTCCTGCTTCCCCACTGAACAACTGCCTGGTCCACATGAAATGGCAGAACCAGCCCCCAGGACAGCTCTTGCTGGCCAAGGTGGCCTGTCCAAATCCCATGTCCTCCCTGCATCCAACATGCTGGAGGACTGAAACCCAACGAGCCCTTCTGCTGCATTGCTTCCACACTGCAGGGTAAATCCAGCCACTGTGCCTGGCTCATCCAGCTGATGCCTTCTGGCTGCAGCATCAAGAACAAGCCCCAGGTCCTGGGCGCTCTGCCCACTGCCTCTAACAGTCCTATTTTCTCAAGTTCCTTCCCTGATTTTCCTCAGGGAAGGTCCGTGCTGAACACAGACTGCCCTGTCCTCTGACACCTGAAGGGATGGGGGCAGTGGTGACAGGTTCCAGCACAGCACAGCAGGCATGTCTCCTCCATGATGACCCCACCAGGTCCCACCTACAACAGGCACAAGGCTCTGCATGTGGAACCAACAATAATGAGGACATGGTTGGAGGAGTCACCGAGGTTAAGTCAGCCTATGTCCTGTCAAAACTACTTCCATAAGGAGAAAAGACAGGTCACGGTCACAGAACTCTTCTGAGGGGAGCAGAAAGGCCCACCATGCACAGCTGACCCACTTCTCAGGGAGCTCTGCTGCCTCCCTGGGGTCTGGGCTAAAGATGTGAAGAGGCAGCCTCCCACCCTGGCACAGCCCTCACTTATCCACTATTGACTTGTCAGGTAGGCAGGGATGAAGTTCAGCAAGAAGTCCAAGGGCAACCGAGACTTCAGGGCCTTGGGACAAGAGGTTAAAGGCATCAGGAACACAAGCAATATTCTCTGTCAGGGAACGATGAGGGGAGAAATGGGAAGGGCCAGTGTATCAATACCTAGCTCCAAGCCTGGTGTCACCAGCAGAATGTGGGGTCTTTTGGTTATGGGTCAGTCAAACCAGCATCAGACCTGCTGTCTCTAAGGGGGAAAAGGCTCTTCATGCAGGAGTTAGCAGGGCTCAGAGATCTGAAGGGGGAAAGGGATAAATCCAGGCTGGCTGGAGGTGACCCTGGGGCAGCATGCCAGTGTTTGAGGGATGGGTGCCAGCAGGGTCCGTATTTACAGACTGGCTCTGCAATGCACAGACCACCAGTGGCACAGCCAGAATCACACCCGGCTCTTGCAGACATGGCCTCCACCTCTGCATACCCATTAAACCATCAGCAGGGAAAATGGTGTGAAAAAGAAGCAGTTGTTTGGCTTAGAGAACTTGGAGCCACCTAAATCTGTTTAAACATACCTCAGGTTTTAATCTTAGAAATGTCTAAAAAAATGCCTTTTTTTTTGTCTCCTTTGGTGGTTCTAGAAACCAGAAAATGCCTCTTTGCTCTTCAGGACAGTCTATGGCTGTTCCTCCCAGTAAAAAGAAGGTACAGGGTGAGAAATTTGGGTACACAGAACACATACAACATTGGCAAAACAGAACAGTCACCACATTGTGCTTTGGAACATCAGACATGAGCTTCTTTCACCAAATATATTGAACAGCACTTGCCTGTGAACAAATAACTGATCAAAGAGGCTACAGAACTTGAAGGTTCTTCCAGTGCTGCTCTGGACTTAGAGCTTCACTTCCACTTCCCAGCACCTGAGCCCACGGATGTGCAGGAGTCAGCATGAACAGAGATCAGAGACATCCCTTGGCACATGTCTCCCACTGTTGGTTGCATCACTAAGTCAAAGCTCAAGTCATTTTCAAGCCATCAAAGCCACAAAACTTCCACCTTTTCTCCAGGCTGGCTCCAACACCACTCAGCTCCTGCCTGAACGTGTTCTGGAGGCGAGTCATGAGAACTTCCACTTCTGCAGTGCAGATCTGTGAAATCAGAAGGAAAATGGCACTAAGAATGAAGATGCTTTTGGTTTTGGAAGCCCTGCAATGACTGGTGGTGACACTCGAGCTCAAACATTGCTACAGGCTTTTCCTAGACATCCTGTCCAAATCCTCATGCGGATAATCAAATGGGGATAAGCGTGACAGCTGTGCTACGGCCACACTTCAGGGTGAGATGGCTGCAGATGTAACACACACTAGAAATAAGGGTAAATATGCTCCATCCCTGGCAGTGTTCAAGGCCAGGTTGGACAAAGCCTTAAGTGGCATGGTTTAGTGGGAGGTGTCCCTGCCCATGGCAGGGGGTTGGAACTGAATGATCTTAAGGTCCTTTCCAACCCTAACTATTCTATGGTTCTATAAGAGGACTATCCTAATTCTTTCCACTGTGAAATGCAAGGTAAAGGACTAAAAATTCCCAAGTATTTAAGTAACTGAAGAGTGAGCACTTTTATCACTGCTTCGAGAACAGAGCTCTCAGTGACTGGGTACAGAAATCAGGGATATGGGATTTGCACTTTCTGAACAAAGAGACCTGAGCAGGCAGCAGACCAGTGTGTGTGGCCAAGGGTCAGCAGTGAACCAGGCCAAGGCCACTGCAGAGGGTCAAGGATGTGCCTTTCACAGGGCTCCTTCTGCTAAGCTCATTGTAGAAACTCTCTGTGGGCTTTTTCTAAGCGGTAGGTTCCCAAGAGGAAGTGCTACAAGTCAGATGAAGGGTTTGAGCGCATTTCAGCAGCCCCAAATTAAACCAAGAGCAGCTCTTTGCCTCACACAACTTCTGAAGTAGAAAGAGATGAATTATGAACTATGTCTCTGAAGGGCTGGAGGGAGCCAGGAAGCACAGGCCAGCTTCCCCAGGACAGGGAAATGAGACAGCAAGCTAGAAACAAAGCAGCTGAAGACATTCCAAGCACAAGAGGTGATTCCCATGCTGGGAACTTTAAGGAAGACAACTGAAGAACAGTATTTTAGAAGAACAAGGTGCAATTTCCTCAAGCATTCAAAAGCCTTTGCCCAGTCCCTCCCTGTTTCCTTTGAAAAGGAGCCTGAAGCCAGTGATGCACAGAAATACTGCAGGGAACAGCAGCTTTGTGTTGTGCTAGGCAAAATCCATGAGCTTGTTATAGCCCTTCTCAACTCCTGCACCCAGGAGCTGATCTCTCCACTTAGTACAGAGCCCCGTGAGCAGGGACTCAGTTCAGTGCTTCCACTTCTGTAGTGTAAGGCCCTTGCACAGCACCCTCCTAAAAATAACTGCACTGACAGCATCAGAACAGTCAGCCAAGGCCCAGTGAAAGGCTACAGGAGCAGAAATAGGGAAAAACATTGCTCAGAGACATAAAACCAATATGACTGCTCAGTTTACACAGGATATACATAAACAGTGGCATGGTAGATGTTATAAACATTATGCAAAGCCGGGTTATTTGCTCTTTTCCTTAGAGGTCATAAAGCTAAGGGAACAAAGGCAGCAAACTTACACAGAATAAACAGACATTTTGGACAGAGATTTTAAAGATGGAATTCACTGCTGCAAAATGCAGCTACCATCAACGGGCTTTCCTCTGAGCAGGGACATCTGCAGTGAGAACACCATCTTCAGCTCCGCACTGAGGTTAACACTAAGCTGCGTGAGGGCTAAACCAGAAGCTGGGGTGCTTCGAGCAACCTGCTCCAGTGGAAGGCGTCCCTGCCACAGCAAAGGGTGGGCTAGATCTTCACAAGTCCTTCCCAACCCAAACCCTTCTGGGGTTCTAAGTTCACCCCCTCCCCTGTCCTCTGGTAACAAGTCACTGCCATTAGCAGACACCAGTTCTCACTGACCCTGCAGCGTTCCCAGGGAGTGAAACTCTTTCCCAGCCACAGGGACTGGACACACTGCCCAGGCTGGCTGGGGAGCTGGAAGTGTCAGCACACCCACCTTGCTGTCCAGGCGCTGCAGGTAGGAGCAGATGTACTCAATGCTTGCTCCAAACGGGTGCACGTGAAGAAACGTTGAAATTATTCCTGGGGAAAGGAACACCACAAATGTCATTCTCATGGCATCCTCCCCCTCTGCCTGCTCTAGGGAGACCC